ATTAAATACAGTTCTGTGCAAAATTTCAATATATGAAAAATTTTGCAGTTTTTTGCAAAAAATTCTGCAAAAATCTGCATTTCGCAGATTTGCACTTATTTAATTCTCCTGATGGAAAGAGTTGTTTATATTGTTTAATTGTATACTATTTATTAAATCCTATATATATATATAATAAAAAATTATTTACTAGATATTTCGAATTGTTTTTCTTGCAAGATTTTTTTGAAAAATAGCATATGTTTGTGGACTACTTGTTGCTAAGATAGATAAAAAATTAGAAAATTGCTCAGAATATCTAATATTTTGAAGTCCTTTTCCTTTATTAATACGATTTGTCATTTCTACAAAAATTTCACATAATCCAGAAAAAATTTAGTTGTCTTTAAAAGCACCAGATCAGCCCATTTTTGCTAATTGATTCCAAAATTTGGGAGTACAGTCTTCTGGATTATTAAAATATCCTAATAATTCTATAATATTTGTATTTTTACAATATTGATAAAATAAAAAATTTTTATAGAGAATCATAAAAGTATATTTTTGATTTTTTTCTTCGGGAATTGGTTTATTAATTGCATTCTATTTAGTAATAATTTATTATTATAATATATATGATAAATATATATAGTTAATAAGAGTAGTATGCATTTCACTAACAATTACTTTACTAACAGTTTAGTTCAGTAACAATTATTTGCAAACAAGTTCATTTTACTGACAATTGTTTCACTGATAAAATTTTACTAGCAAAGTAATTCTTGTTATTGTTATTAGTGTCAGATTAGAATTAGAGTTAAGATTAGTGTAATTTATAAAAAAATACTTGTCAGTAAAATGAGCTATCAGTGAAATAAACTTGTCAGTGAATTAATTGTCAGTGAACTAAACTGTCTGTAAAGTGATTGTCAATGAAATAATATGTATTCACTTAATAAAATATAATTTATAAAAAAATAAAACAATTACCTGAAAAATTTTTAATTTTTTTAAATCAAGATATCACTTACAAACTTCATTAATTCCATCAACATATATTAAACAATCAGTACTTCTAACACAAAACATTGTACTATCATTTATCCATTTTGCTTGTGATTGTAAAGCATTTATAAGTCGATTATTTTCTTCTTGTTTTAAATCCTTCCAATGAAATGATGACTTGATTTTATCACCAAATAATTCTTGGGCTATAGTTTCTAGAGATGGCGCACCACCAAATATAGTTATCAAACCTATATGACATAAGTATAGTTTGACTTTTTCATCATTTAATCCAATACAAACTTTTCTTTTTAGAAGAGTTTTTGGATCTTGAACTAAAAAAAATTGTATAATCTGAGAGTTTCTATAATACTTTTATATATTTTACTTTTAACATGATGTTCAAGAAGATCTGGATCATAGTTTTTATTAAGACGAATTTGTTTATCACATATATATATTACAGTTTTTGGATTAATAATTTTTCTAACTTTTGGATATTTTGAAAGTGTTTCTTCTATATGCTTCATTTATTTAAAAAAAATATTTTTTTGTATAAAAAAAACTTTTGTTATTATATTAAATAATTAAAATTTTTTCGCTTTATTAATATAACAACAGTTAAATTTTTATATTATAAAATAAGTGCTATATAAATAATTTTACAGAATTTAATACTTTAATTTGAAAAAATAGCCAAACAAGAACAATCTGATTAGGCTAATAATATAACTATTAATTCAAATTCTATAAAGATAATTTAACGTATAAAGATTTGTAAATCATATATTTAATTTATTATCTAGTCCTTTTTAAGTTATTTATTAAAATTATTAAGAATCTTGTTAAATACAGATAATTTTAAAGAATATTGCAATTGTATATGATTGTTTGTAAGTAATATATATTTTGTACGTGAGAATAAAATTTATATTTGTTTATTATTTAATAGGTTTTTTATAACTTTGTATATACGTATTATGTATTAGATTCAATTTATTTATTTAATTCTAAAAAAGATTGTTTATATTTATTTATTATATAATATATCACTACAGTTCAGGAATATACCAAATTTGGAAATCAGGTTCTAGAAGGATCTACAAACAGGTTCGTAAATTTGATTGGTCATTATATTTCTTTTTTATATATATCTTGTGCTAGGGGTTTTACAAAATTTATATATCCACTTGTTACTAAATGATAAATGAATAGATAATAAAAGCGACAAAGCTTGATAATCCCCAATAATTCCGTAAAGTAAGTTGTTCTCAAAAAGGTAAATGAGAACGTAAATTTATGACTGTTTTTCGTATATTGTTAAGCGAAA